GACGCGGGGCTCGAACCCACGAGCCACGAGATCATGACCTGAGCTGAAGTCGGAAGCTTAACCAACTGAACCGCCCAGGCGCCCCTCTGAGGATGTATTTTTAAACTGGTAATATTATGTCTCCAAAAGGCAACTACAGAAACATCAGCGGTATAGCAAGAATAAACTGACAAGTTCTCTGACAACAGCCAGCTCCCGCGTCACGAGAAGTAAAGATTCAGCTAAATAAGATCAATTTTCCACACAACTTAGAGACGAGGTCTCCTTCTAAAAGTGGCATTTTATCCACGCTAACCGTCCCCTCTAACCGCATAGCTAGAGGCATTGGGAATGCCAGGTGTGTCCGACCAGCATGAACCCCGTGGAGGAGGAGCAGATGGCTTGGGCTCAAAGGGGACTGTCGCTCGGGGAAGCTGAAATCAATGTATGTTGCATCCTGTCTGAAGAGCCAGTGTTAGTCAACGAGAAACATCTACCAGAACCGTGGACGGAGGGGCTGACAAAGTCAGGACTTCCCCGTGTCCCCGCCTCGCGCGGACTGCCGCTGTCCTGGCGGAACGCACTTGAGGCCCGGCCCAGGAACGGGCCTCCAAGGCAGCATAGGACTCGCAGCTTCTGGTGCAGAGTTGCATCCCAGGGCTGCTTGCCACCTGTCAAGATGCTGTCCGAGCACCTTACACACACTTTATCTGCCACCCAGAACAGTCCCCTAAGAATAACTGACGTCCAGTACTGAAGGGAGGATGTGTTGGAGAGAAGAACTGAACTTCTGTCCTTTACTCACTGGACAGTAGTAAACTGGTGTTTTGGTTTACACAGCAGTCTCTTGAGAATTTGGTTAACTTGAGTTTAACTATGGCTGCCAGCCTGGAGTGGAGACCCTACCAGGGAGCCGGTTCCTAGAACACCGTCTGAGTAGCCAACAGGCACCTTCTTTGGCATCAGAGTGTGACTGAGGCTTTAACATTGATGAAAGTGACAGAAAATTCAGAATCAGCCCTCCACCAATACCGCAAAGACCCTCCTGTATATCATTTTCCATCAGAAACCATTTTCTCCAGGGAGGAAAGTTCTACATGTTTTGTTTTCTGGGTCACCCTCAGCACAAACCTCTCCTTCAGAACTAGGTATCCCAGAGGGAGGATTTAGTAATACACAGAGGCCCTCATTCCTCTTGGAAAAAACTGTCACTTATCTTATTGCAAATTATCTAAATCATAGTTTAATTCATTATAAGTCGCCGGCAGCAATACTGGAAACTATTCTGCCTGAGCAAGTGCACACAAAGTGTGGATTCATGAGGTCATTGAGATAAGCTTCAGGGTCAGTAATAACACCGGAAATAAGGAACTCATCTTAAATAATGACCACAGTTTCTAGAACTCTCTTCACCTTGTATTTGTCTAAAAAGCTTTACCCCCATTGAAGTTTTAACATTTAACATTGGTACAAGACAGTTCTTCCAGGTATATTCCTTTCAAAGTGATTTTATTATGCATTTAGTTCTCCTAAAATGTGCCAAATTGACAAAGTACGATGTCTCAATTCTAAATGTGTAAAGTTGAAAGTTTATTAGAAAATTAAGTTTTGGGGCACCTGGGTGGCTCAGTCAGTTAAATGTTTGACTCAGGTCATGATATCGCGGTTCCTGAGTTTGAGCCCTGTGTCAGGCTCTGTGCTGACAGCTCAGAGCCTGGAGCCTGCTTCAGATTCTGTGTCTCCCTCTCTATCTGCACCTCCCCTACTCAGGCTCTCTCTCTCTCTCTCTCTCTCTCTTTTTCAAAAACAAACATTAAAAAAAATTTTATTAAAAATAAATAGGGGCACCTAGGTGGCTCAGTCAGTTAAGCATCTGACTTTGGCTCAGGTCACAGTGTCACACAGTTTGTGGGTTCGAGCCCCACATCAGGTTCTGTGCTGACAGCTCAGAGCCTGGAGCCTGCTTCAGATTCTCTGTCTCCCTCTTTGCTCCTCCCCAGCTCAGGTTCTGTCTCCCTCCCTCTCTCTCTCTCTCTGTGTCTCTTTCAAAAATAAACGTTAAAAAAAATTTTTTTAAGGAAAAAAATGGACATAGATTTAGGCAGATCATTAGCCCTGAGGGCCTGGGCCAGAGCTACAGCCTTCCAGAGCCTGAGAAACCATCTGTGATTTGAAAAAGGGATGAAAAAAAATGGGCATTCCAGAATTAATCTGTTTATCTGTTTACAAAATATAGCCTTGGGTTGTGAACTGTGAACTTGACCGCAGCTTTGTCTGATAGAGTATGCGCTTAACAAATGCTCAGTGAGCATCTCCTGGGACCCACACACTAGTCTTAGTCCCCGCTTTCCCCAGGCTTTAACTTTAGGGGAAGAGACAAAAAATGACAAACATGAAGTCATGTAAGGCCAGAACTGTGAATGGAAACCGGGCAGGTAGGAAGACCCAGGAGTCGGGGGCAGTGACCTCTGGCAGAGAGCTGTGTGAGGAAGAACCCCAGCATTGGAAGGAAGAAGAATAAATCACAGACATAACTCTAGATTTTCTAGTTACCACTTTATGAAACTAAAAAGAAATAGGTGGGCTTAATTTTAATACTGGAGGGGCACCTAGGGGGCTCAGTGGGATAAGCGGCCAACTATTGATTTCAGTTCCGGTCGTGATCTTGCAGTCATGGGATTGAGCCCCACAATGGGCTCTGCGCTGACAGCACAGAGCCTGCTTGGGATTCTCTCTCTCTCCCTCTCTCTCTGCCCCTGCCCCACACTCACTCACTCTCTCTCTCTCTCTCTCTCAAAATAAATGCATACATAAACTTAAAAAGTTAAAAAAAAATTAACACTGTATTCTATTTAACCGAATATACCAAAATGTTATTATTTTAACATGTAATTGACATAGACAATTTTACTGAGATTTTTGCTAAGTGGACATGAGTGAAACTGATCGAAATGGATCTGGACCAGAGCATAGCATTAATCTAGGGGAAGTGGGTTTTATCAGTGCTTTTGGCCAGTTAGGACTTGGAGAAACCATTTAGCTTTCTTTTGAGAATCTTTTCCTAAGGTACAGGGCAGAGGGTTCCTGATTAGAATATTTGGGAATATCTTGTATGAGTTATTTTAGAATTACTTTTTTAGATAACTCGTAATTTCTAGTATTCGTTTAAAAAGGCTGCTATATCCAGTCCCCCAGAGAATTTGTGCCCATAAAATGTACACTCACTGGAAAGGAAGTAGGAAGCAGAGAGTTAGATTCTGTGGGACAGATGGTCCACCTACTGCCAACAGCTCACACGTGTACCTCTTCTGTGAATGCTCATCAATAGCTCAACACAGCATCTTCAGAAGAGGTGCCGATGGACCTGGTGGCTGCCACTGACCACGGACAGAGGACCGTGGTGCCTGTGCTAAATGGCACTAAGTCACACTCTTGCTGGAGGGCCGGTAGCCAGCCCGTGTTTCTAGGAATCCGCCCTGGGACAGAGGAGGGAGTGACACACGGGAGCACTAGAAGGCACGGTTTCCCAACTATAAGGAGAAGAATGACCTGGATCCTCGCTGAAATTACAGACTTGGGGCCCAAACTGGCAAAGTCTTGCTTGGGCAACCACTGGGGATTGAAGTGAAAACCTTAGTACCAAGGAGGAAGAGAAAAAACCTAGGGTTCTAGGTGCTGCCTTCCCCCTCCTCCCTCTGCCTTGCACCTCCCAGTGCCTCCCTACCCATTTACAGCAAGGGAGACGGGGACATCTGGGTCAGGGCAGACGCTTCTTCTATTTCTTGGCTACTAGGGATCCCAACCCCAGATTTCAGAGTCCACCCGCTGTTGGCAAAGAAAAACTACTTTGTCTCTGGTGGTGTGTCAGCAATTATTAAAGTGAGTGTCCCGGGACACCGTGAAATGCTGAAACAGGAAAAGCTGCTGTGGCTCTTAGTCTCTGTGAGATGGTCATCTATGTAGCAGACTCTCTGGGAGCCAGGATGTGCTGCACTCCTCTGCCCCATGGGCTGAACTATGGTGTAATTAGAAGATGGAAAAGACAGGAGCAGACATGTCCTGAGGATGAAAACAAGACAAGCCCAACACCATTCGCCGGGAGAGAAATGCAAATTAAAACCACGTGGGCTATCACTACAGACCTAACAGAAAGGCTGAAAGGAAAAACACAGACAATACCAAATGCTGGTAAAGATGCAGAGAATCACTCGTACATGCTGGGGGGGGGGGGGGTTTACTTTGTGCAGTCACTCTGGAAAACGGTGTGGCAGTTTTTACATTACTAAACATAAATCACCATATGACCAAACAAGCAAATCCTTGGACATTTATTCCAGAGAAATGCAAGCTTATGTCCACACAAAATCCTATATGTAAACGTTCAGAGCAGCTTTATTCATAACAGCTGAAAAGTATAAAAACCCCAACTGTCCTTCAGAGAGTGAAGAGTCACACAGACTCTGGGGTAGGTCCATACCATGGAATTCTACTCAGCAATCAAAAGAACTAATTATTTATGCAACAGATTACAAGGAGTTCTACTGAGTGGGAAAACATCCAATTCCAAAAGTTTACTGTTAAAAGACAATTCAACTAGGTAAATTTTAAAGATCTTCTTGGCTTTATTCAGTGATCCATGAATTGGCCAGCATCCCATCAAGCAGATAGAAAGGAGACCCATGGCAGACATGGTACAAAATGGAAGACTTTTACAAACAAGTTACAAGCAAAGAGTGGATTGTTTTAGACAAGGCCACCTTCCTTTGGGGGGAAGGCTGAGGGTCTATCAGGCAGATGACCTCACTAGTGCTGACCAGGTAATCCCTGACTGACTGCTTAAAATTACACTACTGGGGGGCGCCGGAGTGGCTCAGTCAGTTAAACGTCCAACTCGTGGTTTTGGCCCAGGTCATGATCTCATGGTTTTGTGAGTTCAAGCCCTGTGTCAGGCTCTGCACTGACAGTGTGGACCCTGCCTGGGATTCTCTCTTCCTCTCTCTCTGCCCCTTCCTCACTTGCATTGTCTCTCTCTCTCTCAAATAAATAAGCTTAAAAAAAAAAGATTACACTTCTGAGAGAAACTGAAACCTGTTATGTTAGTATCTTGGCTTGGTGACATGAGCTTACCACCAAGTGACTCCATTTGGGCCTGTTTTCTCTTTTTAACAATACCTTATGATTCCATTTATATGTCACTCTGAAAATGTCAAAATTATAGAGACAGAGTACAGACTGGTGAAGAGGAGTGATTGCCCAGGTTAGGGATGGGGTGGGGAGGACGGGCCACCCAAGAGGGTCTTGGGTGATACAAGTGCTATGTCCTGTCAGTGTCAATGTCCTGGTGTGACATCATCCTGTAGTTCTGAATGATGTCACCCTCTGGGGAAATTGGGTGATGGGTGCTCAAGAGATCTCTGTATTGTTTCATACAACTTCATGTGAATGTAGTTTTCTTTAATGAGATGTGGTATAACTGTAGGTGTCTTACACACCTCAGCCTGCCCACGTCCACGTGTCTGCTTACCTCATAGACATTCCAATTCCTGAACTCTTCTAAATGACAATTAAATGACCCCAATGATTAATTCACCACTTAAAAGTTACTAGCTGCTGTTTTGTCAAAAAATTTATCATTTTTACTCATTTCCCTTGTACATGTTACCAAGGGCACACAGGCAAAAGCTCTGTCTAACCTTTTTTAGTTCTATCTAAGCAACATTTATGGTAGGAAATGGGGATTCTGAGATGGTTTTGCTGAAGCATGAATGACACAATAAGGAGAAGACGTAGATGATGCCGTGGGCAACGAGACTCAGAGGCTGGGAGACGGTGCCCCCAGAGCAATGGCAGTAAATGAGATATTTCAAGTAGGCAAGATTGCTTCACTGACAGTGTCTATAGTTTGCAAGCCGGTGCAACCAGGGAAGGATTGAGCAGTGAGCAATGAAGAATAAGACCCCCGTGTGCAAGCGAGAAGGACCACGGCGTAAATGCTGTCTTCTACTTCATCTTTCCCAGAAGCACAAAGACCCAAGTCAAAAGCAAGTGCACAGCCAGTGCACTGAGCAAGCCAGCTCTGCAGCTGAACAGGCCGTAGGTGCTCCCGGTGAGTCACAAATGAATAATGGAACACTTGAAAGGGTAAGACATTTGTATAATTATGGAGCCTGCTGCGGAAGGAGCAGCTGTAATGAAAGCCACAGGGAAAAACTCAAAACACAGCATTCTGGGTAATCACCTAATCACACTTTTTAACAAGAGAAAAGCCCTTTCAGGCATGTACCTTTCATTCTTTTAGAAGCTCATTGCTGGGCTTCCAAAGAACAAAATTAAATCCAATGAATATTCTTTAGAATTTTCTTTACTCCTTTGGAAAAATTAAATATTCCAGAACAAAACAAAACATCAGGTTCTACAGTTTCCCATAAAAGATGCTTTTCTTTGTCCTGAGCTCAGAGCTTTCTGATCTAGAAACCGGTGTGATTATCATCTTCAAGGCAGACCAGGCTCAGGGCCTCGGACCCCCACCGCTCTAGGACTGCGTCCCGCACGCTTGCTCCATGGCCACCATTTCCACTCAGCACTGGCTGGGCAGAGTCCCTCCATCCACAGCTTCAGATAATGCTTGAACCATGGGGCACCTGGGTAGCTCAGTCGGTTAAGCGTCCGACTTCACCTCTGGTCATGATCTCACGGTTCGTGGGTTTGAGCCCCGCGTCGGGCTCTGTGCTGACAGCTCAGAGCCTGGAGCTGCTTCAGATTCTGTGTCTCCCTCTCTCTCTGACCCTCCCCTGCTCGTGCTCTGTCTCTGTCTATCTCAAAAGTAAATAAAAACAAAAAACTAAAAAACAGATAATGCTCGAACCGTATGCCATTTAATGCAAAACACAGAATGATCTCCCGATTTCTCACATTCATTCCTGACACCCCATGGAAACACTTTAACAGAAAGGAGCAGCAGCACAAACATGCACCATCTTCTCCATGAGTTACGCCAGTACCTCCCCCATCTTTCTCCTTGTCCCAGTTATGGATTGCTGCAAAAATTACTGTGATAAAACAACATCCACTCTATTATGCTCCTTGGACTCGGCACTCAGGAATTTAGGAGACCCCTACAGGGTGGCCTGTCCACTCCATGGTGTCTGGAATCTCCAGCTAAGAGGACCGAAATGGCAGGGGTTTCTTTCCTACCTTCTCCAACACCTGGCCTGGGGTGGCCCAAAGTGGGGCCTCACCCAGGCCTGGAGCTCTTGCATGTGGCTTCTCTGTGAGATTTGAGCTTCCTCCTAGCATGGCTGCTTCAGGTCCGGGAAGCTTCTTACATGGGGTTCCCCTTTCAGTGGGGTGGTCTATGTTCCCCCTTTGCTCATGGCGGCTTTCACCAACAGAATATGGTGGAGAAGACCCTGTGTGGTGTGAGGCCATCCTGCATCCGCTGGCTTCCACACTACCCTCTAACTGACCACACATACAGGGACCAACCAAGCCGGCCCAGACCAGACGGCCAGCCCAGATTACTCAGTAATCAGGTGTGCGATAATCCGGTGGTTGTGGTTTGGCTTCAAACCATTCACTCTTGGAAGCTAATGGATATGCATATATGTGGGTCAGTTCTTTATGGTGTCGATAGCTTTACCAGACTCTAAGTCTCGTGAAGACAGGCACCGGGTATCCCTGCTCACCACCTTGTTGCTGGTGTTTAGAATAGCACCTGACACAAGTGGATTCTCAGTAAGGATTTACTGTTGAGTGAATTAAGTGAACAGTCATGCATCTGCACTGGACCTATTTCTATACTGTTCTATACTGTCATAATCATGTCTATACACTGTGTATGGACCTGACTTCTAGATGAATTCCAGAAAATTCATATATGGCCAGGGGACCAGACTCAATGACATTAATTTTGATGATATAAAAATAAATGCATACTTATGTTGGATATGTTCTGGAACAGAGCTAGTGAATCTTATACAGCTTTAGATTTATAAATACCAGTGAGTTGTACCATGGTAGTGGGTGAGTTTTATGGTATATAAGCCATACCAGCTGTTAAAAATGGAAAAAAAAATCTTATCACTAAAAAAATAAATGTGTGTCTAGCTGGAAGAATGTGGGCTGCCCAAGGCCGAGAGAAAGATGGAGGGAAAGGAAGGGCCCAGAGATGCCCCATCTCAGCAATTCCTACAGTCTGAAGTTGAGTCAACAAGAAATTCAAGTTCAAGCGTACCATTTAAAGTTAAATACGAACCTATAGGAGCACTGACTGAGATAATGTACCCACAACAATCAAGAGGAAGGAGAGAGGAGTACATGTTAGCTCACTCTCCATCCTCCAAATCAGAAAGTCATCCATCACAAAACAAATCAAGGTCGAAAAATGGAGAAAATTCAAAATTTTGTTTAAAAATACTTTTTTAATGTTTATTCATTTTTGAGAGAAAAGAGAAAGCACAAGCGGGGGGGGGGGGGGGGCAGAGACAGAAGAAGACACAGAATCCAAAGCAGGTTCCAGGCTGTCAGCACAGAGCCCAACACAGGGCTTGAACTCATGAAAGGCGAGATCATGACTTGAGCCTAAGTCAGACGCTTAACCACTTGAGCCATCCAGCACCCAGTATAATTTGGAATTTTGGAAGTAACCACCAGAGAAACTAAAAACAGTAATGGTTAAATTTCTGCCATAGGAAAGTTCCCACACATTCCTGGACTAAATAATAGTTCACACTCTTGTGGCAGAAAAGATGTTGAAAATGATGTATCACAAAAAATGCCTGGGTGGCTCAGTCAGTTAACCATCCGACTTCAGCTCAGGCCATGATCTCATGGCTTGTGAGTTCAAGCCCCATGTCAGGCTCTGTGCTGACAGCTCAGAGCCTGGAGCCTGCTTTGGATTCTGTGTCTCCCTCTCTCTCTCCCTCCCCTGCTCTCTCTCTCGCTCGCTCTCGCTCTCAAAAATAAACATTAAAAAAAAGAAGATGATGTATCATATTACTGCCATGTGTGTGCACATGCTTGTCCATGTGTGTGCTTGATGTTTTAAGAAATTCATAATATCAAAAGGAAAATTAGCCTTGAGGAAAAATCACAAAGAATCCCCCCATATATTTATAGTGATCCATTAATTCTCAGCACCAAAATTCAACATTTTGTCATAAAGCATTTGTCACAAGCAAGTTTTCCACCAGGACAGTGGGCCATTTCCAGGAGCCAAGTACCGCACAGCCAGTAAGTCTGCAGGTGCGCGTATGGCCAGCTTCAAACACAGACGCAGGAAGAAGAGGCCAAGAGTTAGGATGTGTTCAAGACAAAATCCTGACTTTTCCATCTGTATAGGAACCGGAAATGTATTGGCTGAATAACAAATATCTAGTCTTGGGGAAACGAAAGCCATATTGCTGCACTGTTTAAAATGCGTCCCGCTCAGCCCAAATGTCTGTGGTCCTCAAAATATTACTAAGACCAGACACGATCACAGGACATCTGGTGAGGAAGGATAGATGGCTTTAATTTAATTCCAAATATGGAGAATCCCCAGGGTCCCCGTATGAAAGCAGTAGTATTACAAAATCTAATAGATGATTTGTTTTTAGGAAATGTGCAAAAATGTGAATTGTGCCTGAGACAGCCTTCTTCAGCAGTGCTCTGGAAGACAAGACACCCGGAATTCTCTTTAAAGACCACCCTTCCGTAAGACAGTGGCCCTGGGGTGTGTAGATCATTCCTCCATGGGTCACACCTGAAATGCAAATTTCTGACTCTACAGTATCAATTCTACGTTAATGAGCTGGAGAGAGTAAGATTCCAAGCCTTTCAAGTATATATGAAATGCATTGCAATTGTATACTCGTTGCAATAAAGATGCCCTGATTTAAAATAATAAAGTCCACCTCTCCTTGCCCAACACCCAGGGAAGGAGAGGAAGGGAGCTGCTGACCCAGGAGCGAGCGTTCAGCCACCCAACAGCCAATCCTTCCTGGCCTCTTGGGTTCAAATCTCCCATCCTTTGCCTGCCACATGGTGTTGGATAGGTTACGTGGCCTCTCTGCCTTCACCTTCCCCGTCAGTAAAGAGGAATAGGAGCCCTCCTTGCAGCCTTAGTGAGGGGGGGTGAGCTGCAGGCACGGTCCTGGGTTCACAGGACACACAGTGAGCTGAGCTACGGTAATTAAGGCAGTGGCTTCCGGGGCCCCAAAGCTCTCTCTCTCTCATCACCTCTGTGCCCAGCACCCCCCGTGCAGCACAAAGGAGCGAGGTCATCCAGAGTATTTGCTGATGCCCCGGGGAAGGTCTCAACGGGGGTTTCCCGTGTTGGGGTTCCGCAGGCCCGCACCGGTGCAGAACTGAGCCAGTAAGCAGCCAATGGATGCCCCTTCTGAAAGATCACCCTGTGTCTCTGCCTTCAATGCCTTAATTATTTTTTTTTTTCATTATAAGGAGTGTGATGGTTAATTCTATCTGTCAACTCCACTGGAGTGTCCAGATACTTGGTTAAACATGATTCTGGGCATTTTCTGGGTGACATAAACATGTAAATCAATACACTGCAAGGCAGACTGCTCTCCCCTGCGGGCATCCAGTCACTGCAGCCCCGAAAAGAGCGCACACCAAGGGAGGGAGAAATCCGTTATCTCCGCCCGTCTTCCGGCCGGACACGGTCTTCTGCCTTCGGATGTGGACTCAGACCGGCACCCGCACCATCAGCACCAGCTCCCGTGTCTCCAGCGCACAGACCGCAGACCTTGGGACTTCTCAGCCGCCAGTCACGTGAGCCAAATCCTTATAATAAATCCCTGTTTGTATATCCTGTTGACCCGTTTCTCTAGAGGACCCCGTTTCTCTGGAGAACCCCGATTAATACAGAGGGATAATACATATTAATGTTAAATATTTAACATATCAAAAAAAGCATGAAAAAAATCCCCTATAATCTCAATTCTCACAAATCTCTACGGACTTTTTTTTTAAGGTTTCCACTTTTCTTAATGTTTTATTTATTTCTGAGAGAGAGAGAGAGACAGAATCCAAAGCAGCTCCAGGCTCTGAGCTGTCAGCACAAAGCCCGATGCAGGGCTCGAACCCACAAACTGTAAGATCATGACCTGAGCCAAAGTCGGATGCTTAACCGACTGAGCCACCCAGGCGCCCCTGATCAGTTTTAGGTCTTAAAGACTGAAGTTCTCGGAGGAAGAGGGAATTCTGCCTTCAGGCTCCAGACTGGGCATGTGGACGGCGCCCTGCACACTTTAGACCTGCCCCCCTTCCTCAAATCGTCTCTCCCGCCCTTTCTCCCTCCTTGCCTCGCTCCCGCTCGTTTTACACGCACAGCGTCCGTTTCTCTGGAGAACCCCGACGAACACAGCTCTCCTCACCGGAGCACCGGGGCCCACACCGACGTCTTTGCCCACGTCCTGCTGGGGGGTTTCCGGGCCCGGGGCTCGGATGAGCGCGCCGGGGCTCCGGGGGGCGGGGCTCCGGGGGCGGGGCTCCGGGGGGCGGGGCTCGGATGAGCGCGCCGGGGCTCCGGGGGGCGGGGCTCCGGGGGGCGGGATGGCCCGCAGCGCGAGCGCAGAGCGCCTGCGCGGCGGCGGACGGCGGGTGAGTGTTCCGGTTCCGCCCGCACGCCCACGGGGAGTCGTCCCGTTTTAGACATAACGATACCTGGGAGTTAGTTCTGCATTGCTGTTTGGGGAACTTGAGCAAGGGTTGCGGGAACCATCGTGAATGACCGAGGACTCCTGCCCTCGGTCGTCGATACGTTAACAACCGTGACACGAACACCCCGTAGACGCCTGGAGCCACTGCTCAGAGTCGAGCCCCAGCCACACCATCCGTGCTGCCCGTCGGCCTCGCCGGCCGCCCCCCCGGGTTTGGGCACCCGCGCCCCCTCTGCGTCCACACCCGGGAGGCCCGCGTGTCTGTCCAGACGCTGAGTCTACGCGGCGGGATCAACGCGCAGCGGCGGCGTGGACCGTGTGAGCGGGACCCCAGAGCAGGGACCATCCCCGTGTCCTGACCGGGACATCGCTCCCTAACTGGCAACAGGGCCGAATCTCGGTTCAGGCCCTGGAATGGTGGTGACTGCAGGCCGGTGCTGAGGCCACGCAGGCGGTCAGCAGCCTGAGTTGTCCCGACCTCACTGCCCCAGTTCCAACCCGCCTGATGTAAACGTGTGAGCAGCCTGTGTCTCCACAGCGGTGCGGCCTCCTCCTACGCGTAAAATGCACCGTTTTCTTGCTGTACTGAATCATAGGGCAGATCTGCTCAAGGAAAAGAAAACCCAGTGTTAAAAAGCCTCCACCAACACTGGGGGCTATAGTTTTCTGTGTGTGAACACATGCCACCACCAAGAGCGACATATTTACCTCCGTTTCTCGAACATGTTTGCCAAATCCTATTACATGACCTTCCTAGGCCCTCTGCCCATGAACACCCCAGAGCAATCATTCAACGAGCCCTGGGGGTCAGTTACGTCTGTCCTAACCAGGGCACGGTGTGCGCTGTATTAAAGGACTTGCTGTTTAACCATCATTAGCTGCATAGAGCCCAGTATCCAACCCAGAATCCAAACGAGAGCTCATTCTACAACAGTTTTTAACAATGGAGTTCTCTTGGGGCACCTGGGTGGCTCCGTCGCTTAAGCATCTGACTTTGGCTCAGGCCATGGTCTCATGGTTCCTGAGTTTGAGCCCCACGTTGGGCTCTGTGCTGACAGCATGGAGCCTGCTTGGGACTCTCTCCTCTCTCTGCCCCTCCCCCACTTGTGTGCTCACTTTTTCTCAAAAATAAACAAACACTTAGAAGAAAAAAAGAATGGAGTTCTCTTTGCCTTTACGTTTCATGGCTGGGACCTAGTCACATGCACACGTGGAAGCACGAGCCAGAGGCAGAACTATGACATGACCTCTGAGGGTCTTACGACCGCACTGGGAGCATGGGCGGGAGTGCTGGTCAGAGTGCATCCAGCTAGCCACATGCCACAATCAGCATGGAGTGGGTCCATGCAATTTTTATTTGGAGGACATTTTAAAACCACCCCTGACCAAACTAAGGAGCCACGGATGTGAAACGGCAGAGGAAATGAGGGAGAGGACAGATAATCAGACCATAAGGGAGGAGGGACAGGTACACAGGGCGACGAATGTGGGGCAGGAAGGCTCCTTCTTCAGCTGCCTGAAACGAAGCTACATAGTCAGTAATGGTGATGTGTCTGCCTCGTAGCCCCACTCCCGGACCTTCTGACCCCACTCCCACGTGAGGGCCGCCAGGACGGATCAGCGCGGCCCTGTGTGAGGTTCATGTCATCCAAGGTTCATGTTGGCTCGAGAGCTTTGTCCCTCGGTGATGATGAATGTCACTTGGGCATAAAGGCAATGAGTGTGTGATGGTTGGCCGCTGTTCCTGTATTCCAGAAATGTGCTGTTTCATGGACTGTCTGATGCATTTTGACAAGAATGATCTGGAGAGGGCTATGCACCTGATGTTCCTGCTCTTTCTGGAGAAGCCTGAGGGTTTGGGAGAGGCCATGGTGCTGCCCTTGAATCTGCAGTGGGAACAAACAGTAAGGCTGTCGGGTGACAATGCAAGTAGTACAGCAAATCTTAATGCAACCTGTAAGCGTGAGGACAGAGACAGGGAGGAGCCGAGGGAGTTCCGCCCGGTGCTGCTGCTGGGGTCACTGTCCTTCTCCCCAGTAATGTCTACATTCCAGTCCCCTGTGGTGGAGACGAAAATACGACCACATTCTGGGCATCTGCTTGGCTTGGATATGCTAGACCCAGATTCAGGGAAAGCAGTCACTAGGTATAAAAGGAGCAGAGAGATAAAAATCAGGAGGAACCTAATGAAAAAAGGTTGAAGTTCATCATGGAAAGTGCCAGAATAGGGCAGATCTCTAGGCCAGTGGTTCCCAAATGTTGGCATCAGAATCTCGTGAGGTTAGAGCTGCCAGAGGAAAGGCAGACCCCAGTGAAATCTGAATTTCAGAGAAACAGTGAATCAGTTTCAGTATAAGTATGTCCCATGCAAAAATCGGGTTTCTCTAAAATGCAAATTTCAATGTGTGTCCTGTGTTTTATTTGCCGTGTCTGGCAGCCTTACCTAGACCGCCCGTTCAGACGCTGGTTTCTGGGCTACACACTCAGACCCGGGTGGGGCCCAGGAACCTGCGTTTCCAACCCGTTCACTGGTGATGCCGACGCTGCCGGTCTGGGGGTGCACTCGGAGAATCATGGCCCCGAAAGTCCTCCCCGGGTGATGACGGCTCTGCCTCTCTCTGGTCGCCAGCTTGCGGGAGGGACACTCTGGGGGCATGGCCTGTGCATGTCATCTCCCGTCTCCCCGGGAAGCGTGCGGCCCTCCGTGTTCAGGCAGGAGTGCTGCGGGCTCCCATGAACCGAGAGGCAGGGCCGGTTTTCTTACGCCGGGCCTTGCCCATCGATGCCCGTCTGCTTGGAGTGCTCAGCAGAGAGGCACGAGGCAGGCGGGGGGTCTGGCCGAGCTGTGGCTGCTGAGACACCGGTCCTGCGTGCGCGTGTGCGACAGCTCTCTCCTGCTGCGTCCTGCGGTGCTCGCCACACACCAGCTGTTCTACGTTGTAGGAGACAGTCTGCTTTTCGACAAGGGGCATTAGTGCCTTGTGCACACAGTGAGTTAGTTATTGCTAAACATTTTATATATTTTTTAAAGTTTCCTTATTTACTTTAAGAGAGAGAAAGAGAGCACAAGCCAGGGAGGGACAGAGAGAGAGGGAGACAGAGAATCCCAAGCAGGCTCCATGCTCAGCGCTGAGCCCAACACAGAGCTCGAACCCATGACTGTAAGATCATGACCTGAACTGATATTGAGTGGGACGCCTAACCGACTGAGCCAGCCAGGCGCCCCTTACTGTTGAACATTTTAAATGTATCAACGTCTTGTTTGTTGGAAGTAGAAGTTGACCGCCAGACTCCCATTACCCTCGGTAGCCACAGCGTGGCTAGTACCTGGGCGGGATCTGTGCCCTTTGGAGTGAGACTCACCT